CACCCATATTCCAAGCATTTGCCAGAGTTGCTTGTGCTTCTGCCAGCCTGCAGTCAATTACTATCTTGCCATTTACAGCCAGTATTTCATCCCCTTTCACTATGCCTCCTGGTGACAGACGAACACAGCATACATACACGTTATCAAAATAACATCTGTGACAGATGTTGGGTATTTATGCAGTACTGAGTATGATGATTATTATTAACTAGATGTGAGAGCCAACACTGAAAGTTGACACACTGTATGGGGACTGCTGAATCACAGCCTGAACCTCCAATTGATCACCTGAGGCAAGCAATGAGTCAGCCACAGGAGCACAAGTGAAGGCAATTCACCTGTGCTGCTGGAAGGTGGAGCCTGGCTGCACCTCTCCTTGACCCCTTTAAGAACTGACTACCAGTAGGGAAGTATCTTTTCTGGAGATCTGCTCCAGTGGAGTTTCTTGTGTGAGCTCAGGATAGGGTGAGTGGTCCTCTTTTCTGCTCTAGTGTAATAGCTACATAAGCCAAGCTCTCAGATGTACTGTATCATTTGTATATTCATTGATTGAACACACGTGCATTATCTACAGGCAAAAACAAAAGGAATTAGTCAACAAGTTTAGGACGATTTTTTGTAGTAACAGTTTGCCTATCTGGGCAATATATCCATACTCCTTGTAAATTGTGGTTGATTGTAGTCTGCTACCATTATTAAGAGCAGCATTACTTAAAAACCTGGATGTTTAAGTGGTGTTTGTCAAGGTTTTACAGGACTCCCATTCCTTTCCAAAAGTGTGTGTCATCTCTAGTTCTTTGAACTTATTTTGGTTTGCTGATCTAGTCAGCTAGTTGGGACTGGGTTTGAGGAGGGGAAAAATATATAGTAAGGGGTCAGCCTCAGCTATAAAGAGGTCAACAACAGTGACGAGTCAAAGAAAAACAGAGCACCTGAAAAAGAGACTTAAGGGGCTGAGAGCTTTTCAGAGAAAAAGTGATTTGAACATGTTTATGGCTGGGACAAAGTCATAGTAAGCAATCTAAGGAGATCTCCTGTCTATCTACCTGTTCATCAACATGGTTCTCAAGGTTAGGATGCGAGAGACCAACCCACAGGAGCATACCTTCCAGGTATGCATGTTCTCATGGCTTTCAGAGCTAAGCTGTCAGAAGGCCTTTAGATGGATTTTGGGAGTAAAGACACATTTTACAAAACAAATTACCATTGGAAGTAACGTTAAGAACAAAGCTAAACAATGTACTACAGCTATTAGCTAGTATCTGCTTTGCACATTAATGTAATTACAAATGTACTTGTTTGAGAAGTGTGAAATAATGAAGACCAAATTTGACTTTCTTTAATGAACAGAATAAGTGATTTTTGATATACAACTAGAAAAAGGGGAATCCTTGAAGAGAACAGATCTACATTTTTGGTCCATGTTATTACAGTTTTTACCATGATAAAAACACAGCAAGAGTGACCATTTCTTAAAGACAGTTTTTAAAATTTATGCATTTATCAGCTTATCAACACTTCTCAAACCATGAACCTCTCTTTGTGCTGCACTTAGAGCAGAGACAGAATAGGTTGCCTTGGACAGTCTAAGTGAGCTTCTCAGTAACAGCTATAGCTCTGAAGTCAGCTAAGAAATCAGCCAGTGCAAGAAACCACTTTGAAGCAATGCTCAAATTCCCCATTGTTACTCACCATGTTTGTCTGCAGCACCACCCTCATAGATTGCAGATACAACTATCTTTCCAACAGGAGAATCAATTCCTCCCTCAACTGCAAGGTCTAATGATCCTTCCTATTAAACAAGAGTTTTAGTACAGAAGAAGCTGTGAATTTTTGCTTAATCTTTCATTCTTTCCTGTAAACATACCTCGCTTATATGAACTCTTTAAGTATCAATCAGTGAGGTAGTATTTACCTTTCTAATGCGTAAGAGGCGTACGTCTTTTCCCACAATCTGCTCTGGAGTAAACTGTAAAAATACATGGTTAGTTATTTCCATCTCAGCAACATAAAACAAGCTGATCTATGTAGTTGACTGGTGAAAAGGGTCTTTTGCCTCCTCTAGAATAGTCTTAAAGGAAGAGCAGAACACTCGCTAGTGTTTTTTTCCAGTAAGAAATCTTCCTTTCATAAGGTCTAGAAGAAACAGACAAGGTCCAGCAAGCCAGCCATTACCCCTCCTAGGCCTCATAAACAAGGATGTTTGTATTTTTCCAGTGTATATTATATTAAAAAAAGATGTATGAATTCTCTCCTTACCATTGAATGTGGATCAAAGTCTTCCACATATTTCTGGAAGCCCTGTGAATAAAATAAGACAGTTACAGAAACATGTGCATGAGCCTCACATTAAGCACACAAACTCCATTTTAGCTATTAATGAGAAAACATAATTCTGTAAGATAAGAAAAAAGACTGTAAATGGAGAAAAGCACAGAAAGGTAGCAAATAGTCTGTCCTGACAGAAGAGATTTTAAAACCTTACAGTAAGTCAGCAGTTAGAACTGGCCACACTATGGAACAATTTTGAGGACCTGTTTACTACTCTTACTGGTTCCTTTCTACACCTGATGGAGCTGAACATATTTATCACAGGAGAATATGTTCTGCCATGTTCTTCTAAGTAACCTTTCTTGGGACTGTCATCACGTTGGGCACTGTTTTACACTGACAGAAGTGACATTGTGATTTGCACATCACCAGCTCTGCTCCATGAACTCTAAGTTGTAAGACCAGACTCAAACTCCTTTGTTCCTCCTCTTCACAGCATTTCAGGGAGTTGGTTGCACACCATCAGCAAACAAAGGACAAAAACCAAATTTGTTTGTATGCAGTTTTGCAGAGAATTGAGAGTCCACATCTTAGTATTTAAGTAAGAATTGGTTGCGCTGCACTTATGAACTGCTACTTTTGATAAACTAAATATTTGCAGTTTGATCACAGGCTTCAATGAGGACAGAATTTCATCTTGTGGGGAAAAAAAAAACCACAATCGTTCATGATTTTAGAAAGCATATTAGTATTACAAACACTTTTTCTAAACTGGGAGAGACGTTTTACAATGATAGTTAGCTAAACAACTAATAGATTGAATAGCTGAATTTGTAGAGATCTCTGGTACAATTGTTGAAGTAGACATCTATGGTCTTGGAGCAAACAACTTAGAGGAAAGGACTCCAAACTCAGCCAGGTCACTAATTCATTAGGTAATGTAAAGCAAGTCATTGAACTCTTTGTCCCAAGTCATCCTCACAGAAAACATATGCTGCCCTTGAAGAAAATTTTCCTGGGAAAGCCACTTTTAAGCAGGACAAAAACTAAAACTTCACAACAAAAAAACCTACAAATGAAGAAATTACGTGATCTGGATTCAACAAATGTACAAATACAGCCATGATAAAATGAACACATCCTCTGAACAAGTGTCATAAATTTACAGTGTAGGCAGTGCACACAGTATGCAAGCAAGGGCTAATGCACCAAGCAATACTAACTGGAAACCACTGGGCTGTTTCTACCTCCCACACATTACAGGGGAAAGTTATGAACATCCCTGACAATATTGTCAATTACAAGAACATTCAAAGGAATAAATATCTGTAGAATACAGAAGATTAAAATGTTTGTCTACACTGAAACAACTGTCTGGACTTCTAGATGAAAGTTGATGCTGCTGCTTTGAATGGAAAAATAATTTTTTTCTAAAAGCACATAAGCCAATGGTATGCTCTGATTGACATAAGGAGAAGAGAAGAATTAAAACATACTAATAATAGTCTTCAAGTTTGATTTGCTATCTCAGTTGAATCCAGTTTTCCATTCTGACTAAGCCTTCAGCTCATGCCATCTGAAGTCACCTGAATCCTCAGTGGGTCTGTTCATCGAAATTCATCTTCTCAAATGGACACTTGAAAGATCTTATTAAGTTAGCATATGTATGGTGGACATATCTTGTCTGGGGGGAGTTTTTCAGTGGAGTAATTAAAATCTTAAATATTTGACATTTTGCTAGCATTTCACATATTAACTTGACTGCACCTATGAGACAGCTCTAATTCATCATTTTCATAAGGATACATAATGGTTAACCTTGAAGTTCTCAAAAAAGATCATTTTTATTTTCCTTCTTCTGCATTACAATTTCACTTATCTGGAAAAGGTGCCCATGTAATGATTCTACGTATTAATTGACCCATGTTGAATATCAAGAAAGACTAAAACTAAACAAAAGAAGGAAAAAGTCATGATTGATCTTCATGGTTTACCAAAGGTTCACCCTGTGAGCTTACAACTTTGCCTTAACACTTCCATATAATGTGATAATGCACATAACTTAGCTTGCACTAGTAAAGCTGTTTTGGATAGAAAATGGCACCTTTAGCAGCAACAGAGAACTTAAGCACAAAGTTCACTTGACAGCACAATCTATTAAAACAGAGCAGTCAACCAAAGAGGGGGAGATGGAAGTTTTAGCACTATGGTTATTTAAAGCTGCACAGAGGAAGGCAATAAATACATTAATATGGTAGAAAGTCCTACAAAATATGTATACATTACATATATATTATATATATAATGCTATATGAATAGGTGCTTTCCACCATCAGTGCCTCTGATTTCCTACCAACAACTACGTCATGATAATAGATTCATTTGTTTAACTAAGAAAATATTTTATTACTGAAAGCATTGTAACTGGAAGCTGAAAGAGGAAAAAAAACCAAACAGCTGTAGGAATATATTTTTAAAAAACCACCCAATCTCAGGACATTTATCAGTGTTCAACAGTCTTAAATATTGTGTTATGTAAGTAGCTAGAAGATGGTTCAACCTGAAGCTCCTGTCTAGGCTACAGGAGCCACATGCACACTCTGCAATCTTACCAAGGCTAGCACTTTTCATGCACTAGTGCTGCCTTAAGTCCTCTGTTTTAGAAACTGAGCAACAGGATTAGAAAAGAGGGCTTAAAATCTGCAACCAGTCAAAAGAAGTACCACACAAAACATGGAAAATGTTATTTTACTTGTTTTTTGTTAGATCTAAATGATGAATTGTAAACCACCATCCTTTTAAACATCTCTTGTGGCTGCAAAAGAAAGAACACGGCCAAACCAAGTATTAACTCCTTGCTGTAGACAAATATCACCTGATAACATGAACTCAATGTTTTTTTGCTCTTCTTGGGACTGAATCATACTTGCATTTTTTAGTACATGTTCCCTACACAACTGCAAGTGAGAGAATACACATAGCAAAATGATATCAAATCATAAAGGAACTATGTAGGTAGTGCACGTTTCCATATCCCAAAACTGTCGAGCCCCTTCCCAGCCACTTAACAACAAGGAATAATTTTTTCTGTTCAGATGATCTCGTTGTAACTATGGTTAACAACTGAAATTTCTGACTATGTCTTATTGCTGCTACATCTGATACACTTTAGCTGCAGTCCTGCAGAATCAAGCTTCACATCTTGCAAGAAAAGCTTAAATATTAACCGTTCCTTTCCGAAACTCCATATCAAACCACAGTGGAGCTCAGGAGAGAAAACATTCACAATTGCATCAAGGCCTTCTAACACACAAACAGATGTTTGTGATAGCTGGGAGAGAAGACTAGTATCCATGTTGGTTTTGCCCCTCTGAAAACCTTACCACTGAATCATAGCCATCCTCCCCTGTTCTCTGAACCAAAACTTAACTAGCCTTGCCGTGAGTGTATTTTAATTCACTCCAGCACTATGGAGCCACACATTTGAAACTGATTTTGATCCAGAGAGCTCTATGCATTCAAGGCCACATTCAACATTTAATTTCCATCCGTCACTTTATAAGTGAAAATAATTTCATTTTCATGAAATATTAAGAAACCTGGAAATCCTAGCCTGAATTCAGTTACTATAAAGATTTAAGTAACAACAGTCATCAAAGCTCCTGGATAACAGGAGATTTGGAAAGTTTTACCCATTCTTGCAAACACATATATGTATAGATACATACACACACACACACTATATATGCAAACATTACATATATTAAAAAATACATAAAATATATAAAATATATATGCATGCATTCTATTCACAACATATAAGACAGAGTCCGTGCAAGTCTTATTCTACATACTACTACTGTGGCTTCAAATGCAGCCAGGATGAATAACTCTTATAGCATTAAGATATAAATAGAGCAAAGAGGTAACTGGTCTGCAAAAACAATTCACAGACAGATGTTTTTCTCAAAGTCCTATTAGAATATTACTCTCAATGAAACTGTGATCTTCCAACTCATGTAAGGCAGTTGAGGAATCAGGATTATTGATATCTAAAACATTTTAGTACTCTTGTGGTCTGGACAGTGTGCATAGATGCATAACAAATGGTAAGAAATTTCCCTATGAGAATGAATCTTATTGCCAGTTTGTCACACTAACTGTACACAGTGACAATAAACAAAGCAATATTTCCATTTTGTATCAAGACCTTCTCATCACACACAAGGGTATTACCAAATTTTCATACTACTTAATATTTCTATATCAGATATTTATTTTTCAACTTTTGATTGTATTAACTGTAGATTATGCCTTTTACGCTTTTTAATCCTCCTCTACAGAATGTCAAAATGCACATAAATGTTATAAATTTCTAAACATAACTAAAATGGAAGTTCCTTGCATACAACTGAAGGAAATAACTATGCTAGAATGATTTTTATCTTTTTTTCAAGCTCATCCATCTGCCTCATCTTGAGGAACTTACAAAACCTGCTTTAATTTTTCATTTCAATCTATTTATAATAGAGAAGTTTCACAGCAAATATGTCTATAGAAGAGCTGATTTGATAGCATTTGAATCTTTTCAAACTTAATTGGGGAAATAGAGGAACAATTGTGGAAGAAAGTAACAGAAAAATCCATCCCATTGTCACAAAATACAGCTACGAATGCTGTGCATATCATTTATTGTCAGATATAGCATAAGCTTTTAATTAAATGAATGGAATGCAAATGTGATGTTTTGCGCTACATGAAAAGCTCACACTACAATATACAGCCCTCCTCTTGTAACTGTGTACATATATATGCACACATCTACACACATACATATAATTGACACATAACACCAATGGTAACAAAACAAGCCAAAATTATCCTCAATAATAACGTTGTAACTACTGATTTCTCCATCAGTTATCTTAGATGAAATTTCTGGGCTGATGTGTGGGAGTTACCACTTGCCATAACAGTATTTCCTTCTTTTCAGAAAGCCATAGCTCATCTTCCCTCATAAAACAGTTCTTGAAGATGCTATATGTTTGGTCAATAATATTTATCTTCAGGTTTTCTTCTTCATTTATATTTGAAACAGATATTGGTAAAATAAAAAAGTACCTAACTGTGAATAGACTTTGCACCATCCATTTATTGATATCTAAGATACCAACATTGTTTTCTCTCTGCCAACAAAAGAATGAGATGCAGAGATACATTTCAAGTATATTTATGACTATTTACAGAAGAAAAAAAAAGCAGTATAATAAGCTTTTTACTATTTCATTTCTATTAAAAGGACCCATGAATTATGAAAATGCAAATCAATGCACGAACAAGTGAAACAATAACATCTGCACACTCTCCTAGAGATTAAGGTCTATATTGCTCTGTAATTCTACACACTAGTGCAAAAACTGCCATTAATGTGACTCTTAGATTATGAACAACTGGAAAAATATCCTTTTGTACTTACCATTAGCGATTACTTGAAAGTCTATATGACTTTTACTTAGCAGAAAATGAGACAAGCACTGCTTCTTTGAGAAGAAATCAACAACAAATCCCACAGTACTGTAACATTCACAAGAGAATAAAAGCATTAAAAGGCTTACCAGGGCCTCTGATTTGATAGTTGGCCTGACCATAAGGTTTGGGTCAGGATGAAGCATGACTGGTTTAGAGATTATTGGTACCCCTGGATGTCGTTGGGTAGGTGGACTTGGAGCAAATTGCTATGGGGTTAATTTAAGATAATTACAATTTACAGCATAATTTATTATAAACCATAATTTCACCAAATACTCCAACATAGTTTATGGCAATGAATTTAATGATACTAATAGAGCAAAAGTCTTACACAAATATTTTAAATGAGATACTGTCAAAGTTAACAAATGAAAGCACAATTTCTTTTAAATACCAACTACAACTTTTTCCCTTAACTTTTGGCTTCACCAGCAAGATTATGGAAAATAATCTCATCTCTGCTTTTGGCATTCATCCCATTAAAGCAATGAACTGAATGAGAAACCACAGAAAAAATGCTAAAATCGAATGCAAGAAGATAGAGAACTTAAAATGAAATTTTAACCAACTGGTGGCTAAATGGATTTACACAAGATGAAATTCAATAGGACTGTAGTGATTACCTTTCCACATAAATAACTTCAAGATAACTCAGAGTCAAGAACAAAGATTAGCTATGCTAACTACTCTACAAAGTACAGATGTCTAGAAGCATTTGAAATTTAATCATGCAGCATGTACTAGCTATGTGACTGATTCCACACTTTTTACTCAGTCAAAACTCCTACTGACGTCAAGTGTAGCTGTGCTCAAGTAAAAAGTTCAAAACTGAGCCCTGTGGGTTTAGTTTGACTTAACCCCAGCATCTCTCAGGACAGTCTTGTCAATGTTTCTCATCAGAAACATGGCCTATTCCAGATATTATTCACATGGTACATGCTGTATCTTCTAAAATTATTTGAATTGCTTCCAGTAAATTGTTTTATTTATTTATTTAAGAATTTTTGGAACCAGTTCTTTGAAAGTCCCTCAATTCATGTAGACATCCCTCAATTAATGTTGCTTCCACTCCATAAAATATATTATTACTTTCTGGTTTCAGAAGAGAGAGAAAGTTTACAGATTAACTTTGTTAAAGTCACACTGGAACTGAATAATTTCTCCTGGAGTTGCGCAACATGGAGAGTGCCTCAGAATGGGGAAACCTGACATCCGGTCATCCTAAATTAAAATCAATGCAAACACTGATGAAATAAATGCAGTTGTTCTCATGAAAAAGAAAAAAAGAGCTCACTTTGTAGCATGTAGTCATGATGTTTAACATACAGCTCAGTCCCAGCTCTTTGTCTTAGCAGAAAAGCACTCTCACGTGGTCAGCAGTGTAGAGACTTTGCATGGAACACACAAACTTTGACTGTATATGGTTGAAGGTTTGAAATATGAAGTCTTCAGATCATTACAAGTCACTACCTGGCATTAGGTATCTTGTAACAGGATACAGACATATGACTGCAAGTGCCAAATTTAAAATAAATCAGCCATGCAGAGTGAGACCCTTAACCTTTCCTTTACGTTACCATTACATGGGAAACTCATAAAACTACATTCATTATTAACAACACATGACATACCAGCGGACTGCTTGACACGGCAGACACTTTGCCAACGTGGGAGGTGTTTCTTACAACCTAAACAGTAGCAGACTTAGTACTGGGTTCAGGTAAAAATATACAGTTGCTAATAATCTTATAAAAGAGATCCTTTTATATGAGGTGTTTTAACAGCTAGTTGCCAAGAACATACTTGACAGGAAACTTCGTTCTTTTTGTCAGGTATTTGTTAAGAGCTGAATTTGAAATACAATGATCTTGGGGGAAAAATAGCACCAAAGAAAAGATTTACAGTTTTGAATAAAATGAGAAAAATATTCTTGGTGGACAACACGAAGTCTTCCTTAATTTTTGCTTTGGTTGGCATAAATGCAAGATGTTTCATTATTGAAATCAAACAAAATGTTTTTGTTTTACTTGCAGCATTTTTTAAGAAGAGGCAAGGAGAAGCTGTCCACCTTCTGATTTTACTATCATGTCTGATGCCCCATTAGCAATACTAGGTTACTGATAATACTGCTTATAAACAAAGCAGCTCTAGTTCAGTATTAGTAGTTTATTAAGAGCTTAGTTGTTTCCTTGTATACACAGCTAATTATATTCAGTGAGAACTAGCCTACCATTACTGAAGGCTAGGTAATTTTTGTTGTTCTTGCCAGCCGTGTTTTTCTTTAATTACTGACCTTTTGCTCAAAGACATCTGGCAGTGAATAATTACCAGAAACACATATTGGAATATGTGAGTTTGAGGTTAGATCCAGTTTAGAAGCTCCTGTGTTACCTTTAAAAATCAGACCCTTAGCATTAGATGCACACGCACTTATTTGTGGACAACAAGGGATCTTTGTTATCCATAAGAACGTGCGACATCTCCATTTCAATGGATCTAGCATATTCTTGGCACTTCAAACTTGTAACCCACGTAAGAGGAAGCACTGTAAGAAGATAATGATGAAATATATGTAGTTTGCATTAAGGCAATTATTCACATAATCTGCCGGTTTCCCCCAAGAAGTGATAAACTTGCATATCCTTTCTCACTTTAACCAAAATCACGCAAAAGCAGAAATCTAGTATTTCCAAGTAAAAATGCAAGAAAAAAAAACCAAGCAAACAACACACACAATAGTGCAATCGATAAATCCATGCAGGAAAAACAACACGTAGGAAAGACGTGATAATACAGGACCCTCTTTTGCTTTGAAAGAAACAATAATATTTTGGTACACAAATTGGAGTACACAAATCCCATCACAGTGCAAGAGAAAAGTGCAATGCAGCAGCTGCCATTTCTCTCCTAGAATGAGATCTGGCACAAGATTTCTTACATACGTGATCCTCTTTTAGACTGAGATTGTAATAAAGTTGGAATATTCTGAAGAAGAAATCTCTAGCTCTTTTGTGTCAGTAAAAAGTCAGCAAACCTGATTTACAGAAAGATCACCAACTCTTGTTCATTTAAAATTGCTTTACTGATAATTTATGCTGTGTTGAGGTTTTAAAAGTTGGGTCTTCTGATTTCAAGCTAATTCTCTTCTTCCAATCTTTGCAGCTAACAAACAAACCTGATAAAATTTTAAAGACTTTCAGAGCAGTGATTTTCACTACACAGATATTTTTTCTCAAACTTGAATTAAATCTGCTGCCTGACATTTTCTTTTTTAAACACATCCAAATATCTTTTTAACTATTACATTCTGCCCAACATATTTGCACGTGATGGGTCTGCAACACATGCAGGAAGGAGAGAGCAAAGCCCTCTAGGCTTAAATTTCAAGAATAAATAATGAAACAACCTCTGGACTGCATTCACGGACTATCAAACGACAGAAACACTTCATTTATTTTAATGTTACAAATAATAGTAGACTGGCTGATCCAATAGATGAAGTGGGTAATGGAACCAGGGAGGGAGGCTAAGCAGGGGAATGGTAGAGGCACGTGCATCCAAACAGATAATGAGGTCACCTGGGAAGCTGGTGATACTGTTAGGACTGGACCTTTGGATAGTGGAACATTCAATACAGGAAGTGGATGAGCTGATGATACCGGAGTAACAGTGAGAGGTGGTGGTGGTGGTGGAAGTGGTGCCACATGTTTCTCAACTTCATCTAAGTTTATATCATCAAGATCTGTGGTATGAAGCTGTAAGCCACCAGCAAACCGCCTCACTGATGTGGCAGAGGAAGAAGCGGCAGGACGTCCACTTGCCAACTATGCATGAGAAAACAAAAATCTGCCTTACTAGTTAATATCCGCAACAGCTCTAATGAAATCAACGGCAAATCCTGCACCACCACCCAATCAAACTGCTCCTGCTCTGAAAACTCCTGGATTCTTGCACACAGAATATCCATGAAGTGTTTCTATGGAAGCTTTTTTACATATCAAAGAAAAGCAACTTAAGGCATCCCTGAAGTTTCGACATTTAAAAAAAAAAAAAAAAAAAAAAAAAAGGAGGAGAAAACAATTTGCAGCAGATCATAATGATTGATGAAGGGGGAAGTAAAAGCAAACAGCTATCAAAACAAAACAGCTTTGGGTTCCATGAAATCCAAGTCTTCAGGAAGCTCTGGACTTTATAATTTCTATTGATCAACACATGACTTGCAAATTCCACAATTTGAACAGAATAAGCCACTCACCTCCCAGAAACTTAAGAGAAAGCATTTACAAGTATAAAGAAAGACTGCATATGTACTGTTACAGTTACTAACGTTTCGTTTAGACATTGATCAGTGGTATGATTTAAGTAGGTAAGAAACTCCAGTTGATAGATGCAACTTAGGAAATATTAAAGAGAGATAAGCTGTTCTACAGACGCATGCATCTTAGCCTAATCTGACACCATTTTCCCCAAATGGATTTCTGTTGACGTTGAGATCTCATGTGGCATAATCACTTTTTGGTACTAAAAAAACACACACATTTCTTCCCAAGTAAAATAGATGTTGGTTGCTCTTGTACCCAAGCAGGAGTTCAGGCCTGTAGTACCTGAATACAGTTCAGCTGCATCTATTCCTCAGAAGCATTCTATCTTTACATATTATATGAGTGTAACTGCTTGAGTAGTTCTGTAGAAGTTCTACAATAGGCTAATTATATGTAATGTAGAAGAATTGGTAGCGCAAATACAGAATATTTGTCTCAAATGAGAGTAGAGCTCTGCAACGGTGACTTTAGCCCATAATGTGCCAACTTTACTTTCCAAAAAGAGGGACAAAAATCCGGTAGAAAGCCGAAGAAAAACTTAGCGTAATCATTCCACCATTCTGGAGACCTACACTAAAGAACAAAGTGGATCCAAACCTATGAGTAGGAAGAATAGAAGACCAGCTGTTTTTTTCAGAGGTGCTGCATATTGACCCGTAGAAAATTTGACTCAGAGGGTTCCCCAAGGGTCCCTTTGTGGTTGTGTGGTTACAATTGCTTGGAGTCCCAGGGGAATTCAGTAGATTGCAGTGTTCCTCCTGAAAGCAGCTGTGCTTGGAAGAAAGCCACACAGCAGGATGGTGGGAAAGCCTCTCTCCACACAGAGAGGCACGTAGCTAAGGCACAATCACTCTCTGCAACTTTTCTTCATCTGAGAGGACTACTTAAAATAAAGGATCTGATTATTTGGGAGGTTTTTTCTTTTGTCAGTCTCTTAATGTCACTTAGTTGCAATTAGTACTTGAATTGTGATTACGATTCAAGCAGGCATTAAAGAAATGATTAGTGATGTTATTATTTGTGTAGAATATTAAAAAAAAAAATACAGCTGGATATTCTACTCTCACTTAGTAAATTTTATTGGCAGCATGTTCTACCTATCCCAAAGGGTGCTCATGAACCAATTAAGTTATTTTGTAGCAGTAGCATACTGAAATGTACAAACCAGAAACATTAGCACTGACCTGTAACAGATGACATCATCTCTATGAACTATGGAAACATCAAATGCTATAGAATCATAGAGTCATTAAAGTTGGAAAAGACCTCTAAGATCATCTAGTCTAACCATCAGATTTACATTGCCATTCACCAACTGCTGACAGTTTTCCTCTTCTTTCCTTTTTCCTTTATTAGGATGAAGGCTGAGAAGGAAAGAACAAGACAGTTTTTTTTCCTCTATTACAACTGGTAAAAGCTGCTGTTGTTAGGAGAAAACCGGTGAGTAATTTTGAGATCGTGCAGCATATAGAAAAACTAGCATTTTACCTCAGGAGATTCATTTTCCACAGAGGAAATCTGTTCTAACCGTGTCTGACAAAGTCTTTCCACCCAGTGCTGCACTTTTTCTGATTCTTCCAGATCTTCACGTTCTGTTTCAGATACCTTAAGCATATCACCAGTGTATTAAAAAAAAGATTGGAGATATAGTTACAGTACAAAGGCTTCAAACTTAGGATATGCCATTTAGATTAGTTTTACAACTTGCTGTGCTTTTGAGAATGACTTCCTATTCTGCTGTCTTCCATTAAACTCACCACTAAATGTGGACGCTAGAAATGCAGTTTTTGCCTCATTTGAACAAAAATTGACGGTAGCAACAATCGAATTTGGAAACAGAGGTTTGTAGTGAAATGTAATTCATTTTTAAACTTCGTTATCTTTGACAATTAAATAAGTGCCCAATTCAGATAATTCCACTGAAAATTCACCTCATTTTTCTCCAATGTAATTTTTCACCTGATAGAAGAATGCAACATACCTCCTGCACAAGACGATTTATTTTCAGTTGTTTTTCTTTCTCCAGCATTCCTTCTTTCTCTTTGGCAAGTCTTTGCTCAAATTCCATTTCCTTTTTATTCTTCTTCTGTTCACAAAAACTGTCACTTTTTGACTTCTTTCTCTCCTTTCCTTTCTGGGAATTATTATTATATTCAAGCTAGATTTTTACATAAACTAAAAATATGGCAAACTTCAAGCTCAGTACATGAGTGCCTGCCTTGAAAACTGAAGTGTAGTGCAAGTGTGGAATCAGTCTTTCAGGCATAATTTTTAACTGCATTTCCTCAGCAATTTGCTAGAAATTCAACCTCTTTTGGACTGCCTGTACACAGCCATTTAGCTTAGAGAAGATTTGAGAGTTCAGCGTATAGAAGATTTGAGAGTTCAGCTTACTTCTCTGCAAAGCTACAACTGTAGAGCCGATAGGTCCATTACAAAACTTCAAATAGTCAAACAGTTTTGATTAGTTCTCTTTAGTTAGTTTGGTTAGTTATTATCTCAATTTTTTTTTTACATCAGTAGGAGACTGACTGCTTTCAGACACTCGTGTACACATAGATGCGAACATTCTGCTTAAAAAAACAAAAAGAAATGCTTCATACTTCATACATCGTAAACACACCATTGCATGCCTTAATACAAATGAGCATCTTTAAAGGAGAGGTTTAGATCAACAGAGGAACTAAACTGCTCTCGGGAAAGAATTCCAGATTGTGAAGACCAGTCCCTACCACCAGCAGCAAAAATCAGCTTTTGTGTGAAATAATACTGTACATAATAATTCTAAAATGTTGAATGCACAATGCAACCAAAGGGCAAGATTTCTTCATAGTCTTTTAGCCCACGATCCTGTTGGATGAGTTCAGTGGTAAGCTGACTACTGCTCTGCAGTTAAGTGTAGCTACTGTTGGAAACCCAACCATTTTTAGAGATAAAAAAGAAAACCACAAAACAACCTTAAGTCAAACATCTAGCTTCTCATGTTTTAATAACATTCTGTTGGCATGTATTATGCAGGGCTAGTTAGTTTAGTTACAATTTTTGATAAAATTTTATCCTCTAATAAATTAGAAGATACTACATTTCATAGATAGCACTTAATGTATCTGGAAGGTGGTAGTCAACCCACCAGCTATCAACATTTGAAAAATTACTAAACCTAAAGGCACGCTAAGCAGTATGCATGCCAAAGAGTTTCAAAATATCAACATCAGAGACAATCTTAGCTGCATTTATTGCTTTCAGATACAACAAGACGAGTCATCTCTTCTGTCCTTTTTCCCCATGGATTCAGTTAATTTCCTATTAAAGATATTTTAAGTACAGAGTGAAATTTTGTTTTTAGTGCACACGCAGGAAATCCATTTGCAATTTTCAGTAGGAAGAAAATTTACCGTTTGAATATTTAGAAGTATTTCTAAAAGTAAAAGGTTAAGGTACTTTCAAGTTTTAGTCCACATTGTGTAGCAGAGTTCAACAAGAACTGAGCTGAATCTTTATTAATATATGAGAAGGTATTTGGAGACTCTGTAAATTATCTCGGTCAGCAGCCATAGCAAAAATCCTCTATTTGTGTGAAGAGGCTGAATTTTCATAATGTATTTATCTTTGTCAGATGATCCTAACCATACTGGATTTTATGTGTTTCAGATCGAAGATGATTTACAGTCACCAGCAATGGCATCAGAATACACTGACATTTTCTTATTCTTTATTAAGATCAAAACCTTTCTTACCCTCCTAGAAGGTTAAAAAAACAGTCATAAATGATGATTCAAATACTTCCTCTGTCCTTCTCAGAAATTCTGAGTTCTTTGGAGAGAGATCTATGAGCCCTCTTCGACAGTTTGTCCTACCCCAGTAAATTGCTATCAGCCATCATAAGAAACAAACAACACAGAAACCTATGATATAACTAAGATATATTGAAAGAAATAAAGAGAACAAAGCAATAGCAGGAATAAAGTACTACTTGGAATTGCAGTAATGTCTTAGATGTGACTCTACAGATTTAAGAAGTATTCCATCATACTTAAAGATTTTCCGGTATTTCTCCTCTCTCTGTGATTTACACAAGCCTTTTGCCTTCAGCACTCTCAATGGGAGATCTGCACAAGTTTAACTGGAAATGGCACACATGACTTCCATTGAATTTTTGCATCTTCAAAAACTTTTATTATTTATGGATTTATTTATTATTTTGAGGACTTTTTGATCTGTGCTGAACAGCTTCTGCAAAGTATACACTCAATTCTCACTGCAGCTGGCAGGTTTTCAGAAGTTCTAAGTGTTCAAAAGAGTGCATTCATAGGCAGATATATCTGAAAAGCATCTAAATTTCTATGTGTTAAAGTGGAAGAGAAGAAAAAAGAGGAATTAAAATTCAAATGCACAGCAAACAAGCTCACTTATCACACTTTGTACCTTGCGGATTGTGGGAAATTTTCCTTCATACCGATAAAACCATCCAAAAGCTACAAAAGGGTAAAGGAAAAGATGTTGTTTTAAGAAGAGTTGATGTCTAGTTCAGATTGATCCCTGTTGATACATATAACTGGTTAAAATTTATTTGGAGGCACAACGAATGTTCAATATTATACAACAAGTATTTAAAACACTTCTTCATTAATTGTGCTAGCACATTTAGTCACAAATATCCCTTATTTTGCTGATACACATTTTGTATTAAGCAAAGCAAACGCAACAATTAACTATTATACAGAACCATACAGCCATATCCATTGCTGAGATTTCTGTAGTCCAAGTCCTACTTTACATAAACCATAACAAGCCTTATCAAAATGAGAAAGTAATCAAATTATTTCAAGCTTGCAGAACACATTGGTGCTTAGGATGACAAGAAAAGCTGTTTCCCACAGTGAACTATGCACATGCAGGTGCATAAACATTAAAAAAAAAAAGTGGAGTAAAATCAGACAAAATAATATAGTATTATAATTTTACATAATAAACACTGACAATACACAGAGTTCTCAGTATAATCCATGTTTCTGTAGGATTGACATGTTTTGTTCTTGTCGAAGTATCTTTAGAAAGCAGTGACAACAGCAGTATCATAACCTTTCATCATACCAAAGGACAACATATATTGCTCTAGCAAAATCAGATCATAGCTCAGTGTCAAGACTGACTGTCAGAAGGAAGAGAAACATAGGAAGGATCTGAATCAGGATAGGAAGTTAAGGCTGGATGGCAAACCTGTTTGTCCTGCTTCATGATCACTTCATCCATGTCATCTGTTTCAAGTTGGTCATGTGCATCTCCCTCTAAATCTACTAGAGAAACAAAGGAGGAAGGGAATGAGGAGACAGAAAGTCAACTGGAGATTCCCA